GCTGATAAACCGGCCAGCAAACCCTATAAAAGGGGCCGATCAGAAGATTTCGCGTAACATACACATGCACACACACTCACACACACACACATACACATGCACACACACATATATATATATATATGATATCTATGGTGTCACCATAGCGGTCTATGGGCCTGCCGGTAATGCGCACAGTCGCACACTGTACTACAACGTAGAATTATGTACATCATTTGTGTTTCGCCGCCATAAAAATATATGCATGTTGGTAATAGAATTTGAGAGTCATATAAACGAGGTCGATAATCATTTTAAGTTAGTGTTGTGTTAGTGATTACACCATTGGTTAACGCGTGTTCAAGTGTTAACATATAGCTAGTGACGGTGGCTCCTGCTACCNATCTCTATAGAGCAGGAACCTACCTATGAAGATCATGCTTAACACACATCTCTATAGAGCAGGAACCTACCTATGAAGATCATGCTTAACACACATCTCTATAGAGCAGGAACCTACCTATGAAGATCATGCTTAGCACACATCTCTATAGAGCAGGAACCTCTCTATGAAGATCATGCTTAACACACATCTCTATAGAGCAGGACCCTACCTATGAAGGTCATGCTTAGCACACATCTCTATAGAGCATGAACCTCTCTATGAAGATCATGCTTAGCACACATCTCTATAGAGCAGGAGCCTACCTATAAAGGTCATGCTTAGCACACATCTCTATAGAGCAGGAACCTACCTATAAAGGTCATTCTTGGCGTTCTAATCGAGTCGCATTTATTCAGTGAAGTGCTTTAGAGATCAGATATCTGTCTACAACGGACATTTTTGGCAGTTCGCAGTTACTGACCCTTGTATACAGGATACGGACTCCACCAGACCTATACTATTGTAACTACTGCGGTGGTATATGAGCTTTTATTTATATATGTACGTACGTACGTGCGTGCATGCATGCGTGCGTGTGGGGGCGTGCGTGCGTGTGCGCGCGCGTGTACAAACACAATCACTACTA